TTGTTATTTAACAGATTTCGCGTTAATTCAGTACGAAACGATTTTACCACTGGACATTTCATTGAATTTGCTGCATGATCGCCATTGCAGTGTTTGCACTTAGGATCTGAAGAGCAATGATGATCTTCTAAATCCTGAAATGATTGACCACATGTTTTGCACGTTTCATTTTGTTCTGTGCATTGTTTACGAAAATGGCCTAAACCACTACACTTGGAACATATCAGGACATTAGCCGGTGCCAGATATTCATTTATTTCATAGCTAATATAATTAATTGTTAACTTTTTGGCATCTAGTAAGTCTTGTCTAACTGAAGATGAGGTGAGTTCAATTTTCACAAGTCGTATACTATTTCCAAATTTGTTTTTCATTCTGATAACATTCTTCACTTCTGGACACACAGATTTGACTTCGTTTGAAAATTCATCGAAATCAATACGTACGTCAACATTCTTAATTATCAGTGACAGTTGAGGAGGAATAGAAGGGGACGAAGGGAATGAGTAATGTTCTCCGACTATAATCGATGGCCAGTTTGTTTGATCTAATAACAATGTAAATGACGTTGAATTTTTCAAATAAAGTAGAATATCCATCTCATTGTTGTTGCATTTTAAAGTTGAGGCCCGACAATTGACAATTTCAATATCTGTTTGATAATCATTTTTGAAATGATTTGTGACCTCTTCTTTAAACTGTTTAATTGTTACCTTGTTTGATTTAAAACGTACAATATGAGGTGGAAAAGGGTATCTAGTTAAGGCATAACGTGCAGATGCGGTTGTTATACTTTGTTGACTATGTTGATGATTGTTTGAATGGGTTCGCCTCTTTCTTTTTGTTCTCTTCATTTATTTAAACTTGTTTTCATTCTTTTCTTGAATAAATAAAGCTTATAACAACCTAACATTTTAAACGCGTCTGAAACTTTACTAATTTCAATGATTTAGTTCGATGCTGCCGATGTAAGCTGCATACATAAAATTCGTTGCTGTTGTGCTATCAGCTTAATTTTATATTTTCGACCATTTCTTTAATTTACTTTTCAAGTACAACAATAATAATGAGTTTTGAAAAAACGGAAAAACGTAGGTATCCAGCAGTCGAATGTATTGTGTACAACCTTTTCATTTAATAGCTAATGAACTTCTTGCATCTTTTTTTCAATTCTAGACTCAAATGACTTGCGCAACTCTCTGTTATGAGAAGTTTCCTATTTCCATCTTTTATTTTTTTTTAACCATAAAAATATTTCCCTTCTCAAATTATTAATAACTGCTTCATCCTTACTGTATATACGTTCACATGTGTGTATATCACATATGAGTGTAGAAGAATGAACTTTTTCTAGTACATGTGACTGCATCCTTGTCCGTTGTACTTTGCATTTACAGAAATGAATGTCAAAAGAGTGAATTAAAGTTTTTTATCTGTGAAAATTATGAAAATCATAAGACTAAAAATTTATGCGTCTGTATCTTATACTTCAACTTTTACATGAAACGTTCGAGGGGGATCTTCTATTAGGGAGGGTCTTCTAATGTGACAATCCCTTTAGTTGAAAACTGATTTGTAGCTTTAAAAATTTTGTTAATTGAACATGTTCTTCGTAGGTATGCGTAAGCCATATATAATTGAATATAGATGTTTAAATACGCACAATACCGTATTATCTCTGTCTAAATTAACATGATTTGTTAATGAAGGGATAGTTGACAGTTGGGATGATGTACGCTTGCCATCTGTGCGTGGTATTTTGAGACGCGGAATGATGGTGGAAGGTTTAAAACAGTTTATAACTTCACAAGGTTCGTCATGTTCAATTGTGCCGATGGATTGGGATAAACTTTGGGCCATCAATTACACATATATTGATCCAGTAGCACTATATTATACAGCATTAAATAAAAAAGATCTTGTTGATGTTAAAGTGACGAATGTGTAAAATGAAGAATGTTGACAACATCCCAAGCATCCTAAAGTAACGTTTTAACAAACTATGGACATTTAAGTATTCATTCTAAATTTTCTTTTTCTTTTTGATATTAGAATGCTAGTATTGGAAATAAAAATGTTTATTACAGTCAAAATATTTTAATTGAGCATGATGATGCAATATTATTAAATGAAAATGAAATTATTACATTAATTAATTGGGAAATTTTAAAATTGTAAAAATCAACAAGTAAGTAAACTGGTGATTGCTGCCCTTTGTTCTTTTTGCTATTGAAAAAGTGTATTTGATTTGAAGAAAAGACATTAGTACAACTGAATCCATTGAAACTGAAACACAACCAGACAATAAAGATTATAAGAAAACAGTAAAACTGACGTGGTTAGCCAAAACAAGTCAAGCAAACTTTACTCCAACAAAATGTGTTCGTTTTGATAATATAATGACCAAACCATCATTGGAAAAAGACAATAAAACTTTCAAATTTGTCAACTGCTCATCAAAAGTATGTAATACATTTTTCGTTTTGATCAATTCATTTCTTCTTTCCTTGAAGATCAAGAGACGTATCAGCAAATTGTAATTGTCACGAAGAAATTTGGTAAGATTTCTAACAACGGTTAAAACTCCGAGATGTCCAACTCCATTTTCAATGATTTATATGTCGATCGATAGAGCATAATGAGCTAGTAAAAACCCTAAAAGGATTTTTCCCTGTGATATTTCTTTCAAAACTTATCGAATTTTTTCAGTTTTTTGCCCTGTAATGGCGGAAAACAGTAGAAATTCTGTAATTCAGTTAGCATAAGTGATTAGAGGCTGAGTTTTTTGCTATAACTATGGTTAATGTCTACTATTATCACAAAAAGTTTTAGCCTTCTACTCCTATCATTGCTAGTTTATAAAACTTTTCAGTTCTATTGAAAATGCAAGGTTTTCTCAACTGAGACCAAATTTAGTAATGAACAAAAAACAAGATTCTATACCCAGCAAAAGATGAAACGCTACTGAGTTTATATTATAAAATGATATTTTTATTCTTCTCGATGACACGAACTTCTTTTAATGCATCCGACAAGAAATTCTTTCCGACAAATTTTACTCTTATATCGACGGGATAGTTGGCCGTTATTCTAATAATGCAATAAAATCTCAACTTATCTCAACATAAATATGTTATCGAATGAGTAAGAGAAAGCAGATGTCTTTACCTCATTTTTTCTCTATTTCTTTTCTATTTTTCTAATTTTAAACAATTGAAGAAAAGTTGCGTTATACAGCATTATTAGGATAACGGCCAACTATCCCGTCGGTATAAGAGTAAAATTTGTCGGAAAGAATTTCAAGAATTCAATATACCAATTCCTGAACATAGTGGCGAAGCTATTGCTTTGAAAACTGAAGTTAATGAACAGGGTACAACTGTAAGAACATTGAAGAGTGACAACGTTAGTAAAGTGAGTATATTGTATTCCTTTGGAAAGTGATTAATTCTTTGAAATTCATTTTTCTTTCGAAGGACAAAATTGATCAAGCTGTTAAAGTATTACTGAATTTAAAAGCATAATACAAGATGCTAACTGGCATACAACTTGTTGGTCCTGGTGCTGCGCCTCCAAAGAAAGCCAAAAAGAAAACATCAACACAGCAAAATGACAAAAATCGGAATCGGGAAACCAAAATTCAAAAAATCCAGAATTTTTTAATTAGGTTTTCTGTAATTCACCATGTTTTTGACAATGATGACTTAGATAATTGAAACGTCGAAGTTTAGTTTTATCAATAAAATTCATAATTAATCTTCATCCAATTATGTTACTTCAAGCCGCTTTAATGTTTACATTTTTATTAAAACTTTTTACAAGTTTCATAAATGTGTGATTTATGAAACTGGATTTATGAAGACAGGATATCCCGTATTGTGAAATACTATAGGAATTAAGTACAAAACCCACAATATACGTATAACAAACCCTTATCCGTTTTTTAATTTACTGTTAAAGCAGTGTTTTAAAAAACAGAAGGGATTTTTGCACTCTAAATGCAACACGGAAATGCGTTTCGAATAGTCGCAAATGCAAACACCTTATTTTGATTTTGTCTTATACGTTTTTTTAAGAGTGTAATCTAGTTTAAAAAATGGTTAAAATTATTTTATTGTTATGTTTTATTCCAGTAATTAAGAGATTTTATGCTTTTGAATTGAAAGGACGCGAAACGGTTTCTGCTAGAAAATGCCGAATATGATTTTGAGTGAAAATGACCAGAAGTGCTTCTCTTTTCACTTCCGAATACTTCTGACTTTGAAACATTGCTCCCTCCTTGATCACTTTGCAATTGATTAACCAGTTGAACTGGTTAATCAATAAAACACGGTTAAAAAATCAACAATATTTTAGCTTAGAATTTGATGATGTAAAAGTTTGGAAAACCGATGGAAAGTACGGGGATTTCAAAATACGTTTTCCAGAAATCTTTAGACACAGGAGAATTTTTTTTACGTTGTTACACAATTACGTTGAGCCGATAGAGCAAAGTATCAGACATATGTCTTGTCCATGTAATGCGACACTTCGCTGACCAAGTTTTTTTTTTTCATCGGAAAGTCGATAGGAGCCCATCACCAGACGTAGTTTTTCATACTGATCACAAATTCAGCCTTTATTTTGAAAAAAAACTGACTTTTCAATTAAAAAATTTAAATTTTTAATGTTTGAAAACTTTAATTTTAATTTTCTAACCTAGAAATTTTCGTAAAATAATTTGTAAAAAATACTGTCGAATAGAGAATTCAATTCTCTACAAAATGGCTCGTTTTGTTTTGGGAAATATTTCTCAGTCGAGGCACAAGAGCTGCTTGCAAGTTTGAACTCCGCACTCGATTTAAAAGCCTAAGGCATCTTTTGGAAATTTGTTTGCAAGTGGAGTATCTTCAGGAAGGCTAGCAGTACTCAAACTAGAAGTATAAAGTTGTTTGAAGAAACGAGTGCCCTAAAATGGTGTGACAAAAAAATGTGTAACAGCGTTACGTCTGTTTTTGCTTTTTTTACACGAAAAAGTAGTTAGAAGGAAATCTTTTTTACCGCTGACAAGCTCGTTCGATGGTCTGCAAAATTTTCTCTAGGGGTATTTCATTTGGAGAATGAATTTCGCAGAAAATTAGAACTTTAGCAAGAGCACTGTGAATTTAGGGTCTTTTTATGTAACAGAGTTACGTGATGGAAAAACCTTTCTTGAAGCTCCGTACTTCAACCATAAAACTTCGTTTTTATAGCATATATAGAGTATGATGAGCTGCGTCGAATGGCGGTTGAACGAACTTTCTAGCTCTCAAACTTTCCGAGATAATTGAGAAAAAGTGTGTTAAAACGTAACAGCGTTACACTTGGACAAACCACATAATTAAGAGGGCCTCCATGAATATATCAAAGATACCTCCTACCTCCTCAATTTCAAAATTCGATTTTGATCACAGATTCTGAAAGCGCGTATACGATTTTGTCAGAAAACTATTAAAAATTCTTTTTGAAAGCCTTTCGGTACAGCTTGCCGGACGTCTGAACTTTGAGACCCATTAAAAGTGATCATTTTCGTACTTTTCAGTATTATCGTCGTAATTTTGTCAAAAAAAAAGGGCTACAGAGGCAGTTTATTTGATAGAGGGTCAAACAGAGATTTACTGCTGAAAGGCGAGGGTCATTCCGATTTAGTCTCGCTTTTCTAGGGTCAAAACTTCGAAAAAGTGCATACACCAAAAAACTAGTATTTCCGGTTAAGTAATACCCTAGTTTTGCGTCTGCGTCCAGATCTTTTCAGCAAAAGTTCTTTGATTGATGACGCGTTGAATGAGATGTCATTTGGCAAAAAAAATTTAGGAAAAATTTCTAGTGAATTAACAACGTATGCCAGTCCTAAGGCAAAAAATGGCTTATGGTCGAAATAATGCATTTTTCTCCCTCTATATTTTATTTCGTGAGAAAAAAGATATATTCGTGTTCAGTGAATGAAACTGAGTAACTTTACAAGTTTACCGAGCCTTTCCATCCTCATTCTAGAACCCACATACCATCATCATTCTTCAGAACCGTGTGGAAACGGTTTTGACCTTAGACATGACTTAAAAAGTGTGTAACCACTCTACTTTATATATCATTCGATAGAGAATTTCAGGGGCTACAAAATGATATATAAGACAGATATAAGAAAATGTAACTGAATAGTCTAAAGTTTGAAATACTCAGCAGTATCTCAGAAAACTGGTGGGTCAACCTCATTCATATTTGTACCATCCATTTAATTTGTCCATTGAGGACTTCTTTAGCTTGGAACATGAACTGTACCTACCTCTGCATATCTCTTTATGCATTTTTAGAGTTATCTTTTTCTTTTCTATGTAGAATTTTTAATACGTTTCTGACGAAATCGTATACGCACTTTCAGAATCTGTGATCAAAAACGAATTTTGAAATTGAGGAGGTAGAAAGTATGTCGGGAAAACACGGTTTTCTCACGAACTGTCTCTTAATCAGTCTGTCAGAAGACGTTACTATTTTAAGAATGATGATTTCAACACTTTTTACCAGTGTATTAATTGTCGTGGTACTCTTTGTACACGATTTTTGGACACGCTGCTCAGGTTCACAATCAATATCCTCTAGCTCATTTCGTAGAGAATTTAATTCTCTACAAGAGAGGTTGATCGAATTCTTAGCGAACCAATAACTACCAGTTCAAGAAGTCGTTCTAATCAAAAACAGGTCGAGCCTGTTTTCAGTTCTTACCCTTTTCTTGCTGAATTCTTACAGGATTCTTAACTGATCCTTATCTGCTTTTCAGCAAATTCTTCTCACTTCGTGCGGATTTCTTCATACAGAAACAAAATGCAAGTAGTGCAGAGAAAGAATGGAAAAATGAATTGAAAAGAAATGGAAAAGTGTGTCAAAATTACAACATTGAGGAAAAACAACAGAATAATATTTTAAATATTTAAACTGAATTTGACGGCTTTCTACCTCTTGATGTTATACATCACTGATACTCAACGTTTTTGACCATCTCTGATCCGTCACGACTCGTGCACGTCTCTCATTATCTGTTCTCCTTTGTCTTATAATAAAAAAGAAATGAAAAAAAGATGTCTCTCTAGACGGTTCTATCTGCGTATTCTTCTTGTTGTTAGTTATTTCAACTTTTGAATGTATTGTTTAAAAAATAAAGCATACTC